TTCACTTTTGCCAAAAAAATAAAATATAAAAAAATAAAAGATTATTCAATTTTTTTTTTTTTAAATGTGTGGTGAGGTTTATTTAACTGATGGTCTGCTACTAATTTTTCCTTACCTTGCACTTAAGTTATGGGCTATATAACTCATATACGAGCAACAGATTAACTCATTGGGACTCATTTGGATCGATCGGGTAAGGCCCGATAGAATTAATTTGATGACGATGGTTCATCAGTTGTGCTCGATGTTAAACTAATTCCAAGTTCTAACCAATAGCCTAATTTAACCAATGTAAATATCCAAGAATGATACTCTAGGGTACAATCTTGGAACAAGACAAATTTGTTCCAAAATTAAAAAATAAAAAAAAAAATAAAAGAAAATTAAAAATTAATTAAGCTTGGATGTTCATATCAATTCATGGGCAAAAAAAAAAATCTTAAAATGTAAGCTGCATATATGTAATCACATATCTGCATAAAACAACCACATATTACTCCATTATCATGACATTTTTCCGGTCATCAAATGGTTCGGTTTTGGCTACTGTTGTCTTCCCAGAAAGATCGACTGACGAAAATCTGTTAATATTTAGTTATATATACAACATTAGAAGTGTCAAAAATAATGAATTTTAGTTAAAAAAAAAAAAAGTCAACACGGCAAAGATACAGACAAAAGAGCAAGAGGAAGCCTATCCAAATGAAAACTGCCACATACCTTCTCCGAAAAATTGAACTACGCTAAAAAAAAAAAAACGAAAAGCAACCAAAATGCACCGCAGGCAAGAACGCAAACAAAGCAGGAAAAAAATGAAGAGAAATTGTAAAGGTGATAAGAAAGGGGCAAAAGTTTTAAGCAGAAGTCGTACTTGATTTCCCATTGAAAAAATCTTCGAAAAGCAGCGAACAAATCCAGAGAATCCCGGGACATGGCAGACACGTCTTCGAAGGAGGAGGCATGGCAACACCTGCAAAAAGAGTTAAAAGTGAGGGGTATTTATATCCAAAAATGTGTCAAATCTTCATCCATACATTTGCTTGTCTCATAAAGTTATTACCAAAATAAAACGAATATATATATAATAATACAAAATATAAAAATAAACTATTCGGTTCAACCTTAAATCCTGAAGTAGCGTTAGAAAGCGATAGGTAAATATCTTAACCTTGGTAACAATCGCATCATTACGTGTGAACGGGCAGATGAGCGTGAACATGCATAACGAATCAGGCCGGCCAAAGATGGTGGCGGAGTTTATCTCATTGCATAATAAGTGGACGTTCTTTTGGTTAGTGAATTTAAGACCACGCCTAAGGGGGTTCACTGGTTGTTTAAGAGGAGGCCTTTGACTTTGATGTTGGATATTTTAGCCATTGGTATGTGGACTCGAGGGCTTCGCGAATGATTTTGAAATCGTTGGAGCTTTTCACAGATGACGGGGATGAGTTTTACTCTCGTCCACCATGTTAGGTCGCGGTCGTTTCTGCACAATGGGAGTTTAGAATGTTAAAAATAATATATTAGTGTAAGAGGAAGGAATATTGCTTTAACAAGACCCATACAATATAATTTTTAAGACATTAAAAGCATGACACTCAAATAATCAAGCAATTCTGATGAATTTTGTACATGTGATTTCTAGAGCAGTTTTATTACATTCCATATTAGAGTAACAGTAGCTAACATAGGGCCCCAGCCAGCTTTTAATGTAGCTCGGTGGACATCAATACATTTACTATTATTCTAGTTTCTAATTTAGTATAATGAACATCGAAGCAATCACAAACCAAAAACAGAACCATTGATAAATTAATGTAGAACTAATGCTATTAATGGTATATACTTAACCTGGATAATAAGGTGTTGATACAAATAATCCATCGCCAGGGTCACCCAAGTTGCCCGCCACTCATCACTATGCTGTCCGGGTTTGAACTGGACTCTGTTTTCCCTCACTTTCTCCATGAACCTTGCAACCTAGAAATTTTCGGGTTGTTCAAAACTATAAGAATTTGGATTTGCCAAAGATAATATGCACGACTCTGGTTTACATAAATATATGTGGATACATAATTATTTGTATTATATTTCTAAACTGTGGCAAGCCATAATAGTCTTGATAAATAGCTTTGTCCCTAAAAATCATGAACTCCTTCAACTATGTAGTTTGAGGCGTTTGGATTATTCAAAATCCATTTTTGGACAGTAATATATTAGAATGGATCTACCATTTTTCTCTTTTACTTGGTCCTTAATTAACACAAAGTTTCAATAGGACAATTAAATAGACAAAAAATTAGTATATATATCATTTTTATCTTTCGCATGCCATATTAACCACAACCCTCATAAAAAACAACTTTTAGTGTAAAGAAAAGTTGAGTTTAAGAGTACATACTTCATATCTAAGCAAAAATGGTTTCTCTAACTGTCACCTCGTACTTCTTGCCATCATCGGCACGGGATTTTTCATCTGGGTCTCCTTCCCCACACAAATTGGTTGTCTGCAGCTCTGCCACCTCGGTGGGGTCTCTCGTCGAGAGCAAACTTATGTCACAAGGGAGGGACTCATTCCCGGACACCTTCATAATATAGAATCATTTTACGTATTCAGAGCAATAAGCATATAATCTTTTCTTCAGTAACTGAAATTGAGAAAACACACAAACACCAAAAAAAAAAAAGGAACAAAAGATGCAAAGTGAGGAAACTACCGAAGAAAATCAAAGTGGTGGGGCGAAGCAGGAGCTAAAGTTTGGTGGCGCCGAGTACAAATTCTTGCGCTGGCGACTGTTGTTGTTGACGTCGGAGAAACAAAATTATATTCCAGTGTTTAGCACAAAAGCACAAGATCCAACACATGTTACAAAGTAATTATCTTAAAACAAACAATAAATTTGTGACAGAAGCTGCCACACTAAAACTGATACATTATTCTTTACGATGATAAAATTTTGGATATAAAGATGTATGACGTAGCCAATTATGTAGATGATTTTGTCTAGAACTAACATCTTCAAGGTAACTTATCAAAATGGGCCTGTAATTGCAGACAAACCGACAACTTAAAAAGTAAAAAGTTAACCAGGTTAAAGGCACGCTGTTGAACCTGAAAGTAGAAACCCTCATAATAGGGTAAGCTTATGTTCCAAAATTGTGTAGATGTAATTGAAATGAGAATCTTATTTTCCCCCTGAAATATATATGAAAAATACGAATATCTAATTTGGAATATGTGAACAAATTTGCTTGTAAGTATCAAAATAATCTGCCATGTGAACAAATATGTTTGGAATATGTGAACAAATTTGCTTGTAAGTAAAAGATTAGGCATTTGGAAGGGAAAAGAGTTGAGTTAAAGCTTCAACTACTTTAAGAACCCAAAAAACACGTGAAGGCCCCAATAGCACATACATAAAAAAAGGCTACATTTACTGCATTTGGAGCTGTGCAAATCATGTGAAGCTTCAAAGTTCAAACAACATGACAAAACTGAAGATTTTCACTGCAGAGAAATTGACACAAAGTGGAAATTATATATTATGCATTAAGTGGGTGTACCTCAGGGCTAGGTTCTGTAGCTCTTCCAGGTTGTGAAGACACAACTTGAAGAAATTGGAGGAATTTGGTCGAACTCGGACCAAGCTCCGTGCAGTTGTGTCAGTAGTAAATCGCTACATTCCATGCTCTCTCTCTCTCTCTAAATTCAATCAAACTCCGATCCTAATCTGAATAATCGGAGGTGTGCAGACTAATGACCCATAATTACCTGTTTCAGCAACCATTATACTAACTATTAAGTTGTGCATCAATTGTCTTATAGCATA